GAGGGAGGAAAAGATCCCATCCAGGGTAGGCTCTCCGCTTTTCCCTCTTTTCACCCTGGACGGGATCTCTTCCTTCCCCCCTCCCCAAGTCTTCCGTCTGTCTGCTGGCTTCCTCTGCGCCCTGCAATGCCCGGCGCCTCGTGAACATGGGTAGCGGCGATGTGACGCCTTTGCATCCGTATTGAGGTTGGCATGTTTCCGGTGGTGCTCTGGGAGGAGGGGGAATGATGGAGGGGAGGACGGCGCCCCCCCCCCCCGGGTCAATGGTGTCCCTCTTTACCAATCTGAAAATCTGGTCACCTTACCCAAACAGCCTCGGCCTTCTGGCGGGACGTCGCGCAGTGAAGACGTCAAACGCAGCCGACAACACGTCGCCCACCTGACTGAGGGGATCGACCCCTCACGCTCCCCCGTTTTAGCCCAAAGAACCTGGCCAATCGGGGGTTGGGTTGGGCAAACAGTTTTTCTGTGGACTGGGAATGATGGGACCTGGAACTCAACGCAGCTGGAAAGCGGACCCCCCCCCCCCCGCAAACAGCCTCTGGCCGTGGGGTGGCGCGAGGCGTTCTTTGCTGACGTCATCAGGGGGCGCGGTCGCCGTTGCTCGCAGCGGGATGAGGGAGGCGGCGGCGGTGGTGCGGCTGCAGGTGGGTCGAAGCGGAGGAGGGGGTCGGTGGGCAGAAACCCCGGAAGGGCCGCCTCGGACCAGGGTAAAGCGGTGTTTCGAAGCCGCCTCAGAGCCGTCGAGAGAGAAGGGGGGTTGCCGAGGAGCTCCGAGCGAAAGGCAGCGCTGTGTGGCGCCGGGAGGGCCGCGTTGGTTCTTACGGCGGGGCCCTCGGTGCCGCCCCCTCCCCGCGTCCCTCCAGCCCTTGGCCCGGGAGACAGAGGCTCGGAGAGCAGCGCCCGCCCCTGACCGCGCCTACGAGTCCCCGGGGTGGAAAATAAGGTGGCCTATTGGCCTCTGCTACTTTGCCCCGGGATTTGAAGGAACTCTTCTGGGGAAGGTCTTTGTTTCAGCACAGGCAGTTCTGGACTTATAACCATTCATTTAGTGACCGAAGATACAATAGCATTGAAAAAATGACTTATGGCCGTTTTTCAGAGTTACGATGGCTGCGGCACTCTCATGGTCATGTGATGAAAGTTCAGTCGCTTGGCAACCGGTGTGTATGAGGGTTGTAGCGTCCTGGGATCACGTGATCCCCTTTTGCGACCTTCTGACAAGCAAAGTCAACAGGGGAGCCAGATTCACTTAACAAACTAACAACCAGTGATTCACTTAACAAGGGGAGCAAGGAAGGTTGTAAAATGGGGCAAAACTCATTGTACGACTGTCTTGCTTAGCAGTGGGGATTTGAGGGGGGTCAATTGTGATTGCAAGTCAAGGACTACTTGTAGTAGAAACTGTGAGGAGTTAAAAGGTTCAGATAATGGGTTCTGGGCTTCCTTCCTCGTCCTCTGTATTTCCTGCAATTGGAATGGGCACAGGTAAGTGCTGACTTCCTCCTTGCCCTCACTCCCCTGTCAAAGGGCAGCTGGATGAACAAGATGTGAGGGAGAAAAACCATCTGTTAAATGTCTCCCTATCAGCTCCTGTAATATTGGAAAAACTCGATCTGTGCTGCCTTGTTCTACTGTATGCCAGGACTGGTTATTTCTATGCAGCTGTGATTGTACTTTTAAAAATTTGTTCCCTTTTAGGCTGTTGTCAGGGGTTACCTGATCAGGAAAAGGCTTCAAAGCATAAGGAGTAAGTATGAGAGCATCATCAAGGAAATTGAAGGAGACTTGGATTGGGTCCAGTGGACTGGCCATTTCTTCCCAAGACCAGCGTTTCTCTCAAAGGTATTCCTGTTGATAGGCTCAACTCTTAGCAGAAGTGGGAGTATCGAATCTTTTTTGAATTGCTCCAGAGGGGAATTAAAGGCCTAGTTAAGGCATCAGTGAGTTCTAGTTTTACCTTAAGCATGAAAACCATCTAAATCAGCAGTCCCCAAATTTTGCAGCTTGGCTGCCTGGCTTGGTTGGTAGGGGAGGGGAACTGGGCCATGCAAACATGCAAATGCACACATAGCTCAACTGTGTGCTGGCCCAGTGTGGCTCGTGGCCTTGTTGCAAATATGCCATGGCCTGGTACTGGGCTAGGGGTTGGGGACCCCTGATCTAGATAATTATTTTTCAGTCTGCCCTGTTTTCTTTTTTTATAATGCACTATAATCTGCATTTGATAATATATGAATGAAAAAGCTCACGAGGACTTGAGGATTTGGCTAGGTTTTGATTATTGGGGGGAAATGTTATGATATAGGATATAGTCAAATAAAGGATAATGATGATTATATATATATGTATGGGTATAATATAAGGAAACTGATGTAAATTGTAAACAGTGATTTGGAAAAGAGGATTAGAAAATTTTGTTATTAAATATTATGGATGTTTAGCTAGAATAGGATATAAGGATTTAGTTTTAATGGAGGATTTTATAAATACGTAAATGAAATGCCAGTATGTGGTTATGTATTAAATTTTGGTATTTTGGTATATTTTATGATGAAGGACGT